TCTGTTGTAGACATCATTCCACGTTGTTGCTGGGAATTCTCGAAGACTTTCTTTGAGTCGCCTCGTGGCTTCTAAACTCTTCTCATTCAAATTACTAGCAAAGGCTATGGCTGCCCAATTGTCAGGTACTCGTGGCAGCATCATTCTTTCCCGTTGAAATCTATCTACGAACTCTCTAAGCAACTCTGAATCTCCTTGCTTGATTTTGAAGATGTCTTCCATTCTCTTTTCAATTTTTTGAGCTCCCGAGTGTGCTTTGATAAACAAATCTGCAAGCTCAGCAAACGAATTTATAGAATTTTCAGGTAAAAGAGAATACCATGTTAAAGCCCCATTAGTGAGTGTTTCACCGAATTTCCTGACCAAGACCGACTCAATCTCTTGCTTAGTCAAATCATTGCCCTTGACACCTGTTGTGAATGCAGTAACGTTATCTCGTGGATCTGATGTACCATCGTACTTTGGAATATCAGGCATCTTAAACTTCTTTGGAATTGGGAGGGGGCAGCACTTGGCTTCCATGGTTGTTGGGAATATTTATCTATATCTACTCCCTTGATCACGGGCGGTACTCCAGGTATTTGTTCTATGCGTTCATTTTGCTCCTTAAGTTGTTTCTGCAAGGTTAGTACTAGATTTTGTAAATCAGAATTAACTGGATTACCTGGGTCTCCCTCTTGTGTTTCACTAGGGGTTCCACCGCTGCCTGAATTAACCAATCCTGAACGAGGATTCTCCAAATTATTGTTGGTTAGAGTAGATGTGGGTGGAGCAGCAGGTAATTGGCTAACAAAAGCCTGAAGAGCTTTATTGACTTGAGAGGCAATAAGTTTTTGCAAAGCCTCATTCATGGTTTCAACATTTTCGAATTGAGCCTGTCCATCTGTGTGAGATCCATCAGGAGTGCCTTCCCGAGACCGTCGTGGGGAGCCTCGTGGAGAACCTTGTGGAGAGCCTCGTGGAGAGTCTCCCTGAAGTTACTGGATTGTTTGAATTTCTGGATTTCCTTGAGTGTTGTCATTGTTGTTTGACATGATTGGCGCAATCAAGAAAATTAGATTGAGATAATTGATTATCAGATTCCCGGTAACGGAACCAATTTGTTTAACCGAAAATTAGATTTTAGGTCAAAGCTTGAATTTAGAAGAACTCGGGTTACTGATAATCGAAAAAAAAATATATAAGAAAGAGATTTGAGAATGATATAATCAGAAAGCAAATTAGTCAAAGTATCTTTCAGTAGTCTCTCCCCCTTTTTTGTTTGTGACTTTCCCTTTTATAGTCGTTTTGGGAATACAGACTTTACCTTTGCCATAATAAGACAATTATGGGTAATTAATGACCTTAAATGTTACGTTATGCAATCATATACATTAATTACATATTCTCTAACGTTTCTAGTATTTAATACTCATTAAATGCTGTATCTGGGCTCTTTTTGCTGTCAGATTCATTCCTTTGACTCTTCTCGATCTTTAACCTTTGAATGTCTTGAATAGGTACGAGCGTTGAATTATTTGTATGACTGCTCGTGCCTTCTTTATTTAACTTGCTCGTATCTGTTATTGCTCGTGTCTGTTAACCAACCTTAATTCTTTAACTGTTTGATCAGTCTACGTGTGACATGTCACCATACATATATAAATA